GCGTTTAATTCGATCTCGAATCGAGTTTTTAACGAATCAATCTCAAATAACTCATAAATAGTTCGGCTCACTTACGCCATTAATTCCTAGTTCTCGGCCATAAACCAAAAAAGACGGTATTGGCGATCTAAATAAAAGTTCATTTTGATTTAATCGTTTTTTTTTTAACGCCACTTATATATATATATATATATATATATATATATATATATATATATATATATATATTCTCTACTTTGTATCTTTATATAAAGTATTAAATATTAAAAATTAGATGTAACTTTGGATCCGACGATAATGTCACCATCATTAAAACCACAACGCGTTTATGGGTGTGCGCATGCTCCCAACAACTGACACGTAATAAAACCAGAAATATTGATTTTTCCCCAACAAATATGGAATATTAATTGTTTTATATTGTTTCAAGAAAATGAGACATACTTTTTATTTAAGGGATTATCCTAAAATATCTATAATAAATCGTAGATTATTAACACAACATTTTGCAGAAAACTAAGATTATATTTGACACATTGTACTACTGAAAAAATTAATTAATAATATTGATAAACTAACTGATAAAGAATATTTGGTAAAAATTATTTGAATGATAAAAAACGGCATAAATTAAAGATCCGTACACAACAATTTTTTTTCCATACACAAAAGTTAATGCTTTAAAATGTTCGATTGTACAACGATATAATGTATAAATTGTTGTGTATGGCAAAAACTGTTGTGTACGAATCACTTCTCTTAATCAATAGTATATTTAAAAATTAAAAAAAATGAAAAAATTAGTTTAAACAGCTTTTAAAAAAACTAAATTTTAAGTTATTTTTTATTTGTGAAACACAATAAATTAAAAAACTTCAAAAATAAACTAAATTTATAATTAGAATTTGAGGTATCAAATAAAGTCTCGTTATAATTTACATACCTTTTTTTTGTTTTGTCACTTGATTTATTTTATTATGGAAAGAAATATTTTGTCATTTTCCAGTTATTTCAGTTTACGCGTTTTGTGGATATTCCATTACTTCAAAATTTATTATTCCAAAATTAATAATTAAGAAAGGAAAAGGCACCAAATAACGCGTGAACACACTCCTTTTTCTCTCCATCCCTTCATCCAAAAACACACATCAACACACACACAAACACAACGCTGTTTCTTCTCTATTTCATTGAAGCTTCTTCTTCTTCTTCAATGGCTATTTTAACCACAGTTTTTCTCGTCTTTCTTTTCATAATTGGCCTCGTTTCGACTCTTTTAAGAATACCCACAAAGAAAATCGCATCTTTAGTTCAACTTCAATCGCCCTCCACTCAAGATTCAGTCAAGAATCAAAACATCGAACAACAGAAAACCAAGAACATCAAGATGGTGATGGAGAAAAAGGTGAGTTTTGGTCCTGATTCGAGGGAAAGAAAAGCAGAATTGAAGAGCGTTTTCGCGACTTTCGACAAGAACAAAGATGGGTTCATCACAAAACAAGAGTTGAGTGATTCACTCAAGAACATCGGGATCTCAACAAATGAAAAGGACGTGTTGGAAATGGTTCAAAGGGTTGATGTTAATGGCGATGGATTGATCGATTTCGATGAGTTCTGTGAGCTTTTCGAGTCCATGATGAGTCGTGAAGACGAAGAAGGGGATAAAGTTAATGATGGTGATCATGAAGATGGTGATTTGAGAGAAGCTTTTGATGTGTTTGATGGGGATAAAAATGGGCTCATAAGTGTTGAGGAATTGGGATTGGTTTTGGATTCGCTGGGATTTAAAGAAGGGAAGAAATTGGAAGATTGCAAGAAAATGATAAGCAAAGTTGATATTGATGGAGATGGTATGATCAATTTTCATGAGTTCAAGAACATGATGAAGAATGGTGTTAGTCTTATTTCGATTTCTTGATTGTTGTTTTGGGTAGGAAAAATCTATGGTTTTTTCATGTTAATTGCTCCATCGGTTATATACTGGTATAACAAACAGATTAGATGTAGTCATGTAGGTATTTGAATCTCTGTGAAATGTATATATAATGTTAGGCATTTGACTTGATTTTCCCCAATTTGTGTTTAGTGGTTTAAATGTAATGTTACTAGTTTGGTTTTCAACTAGAAAATAGTTTTTACTTTTTTCATGTGTAGTCATATAGGTTTTAATCAGGATTTTTATATTATTTTATATAGGGTGAATGTCATAAGTTTGTTATTTAAGTCACAATTTGGCCCCTCCTTACCATATTAGGTAGTTTTCAACACGTTAATTTGATATTGAATTTTATATTATACCTATTGTTGTATTCAATATGTATAATTTATTCGTTTAGATTTATATCGCATGAAGTTGACATTTTATTATGACATCCGATATAATAGAAGAGAAATTAAATTGCCTCCTACTATTTCTTCCTACTAATATCCATACCTATTAAAATTATGTCATTTGTCATCAATATTCTATCTCATCTAATTTAATTTGATATTCCTATAGTGCCCTTAATGAGGTAATTGAGAAAAAAGGAAAAAATTTCTTCCTACTAATATACATACCCATTAAAATTATGTCATTTGTCATCAATATTCTATCTCATCTAATTTAATTTGATATTCCTATAGTGCCCTTAATGAGGTAATTGAGAAAAAAGGAAAAAAAAATATCATGCATTTTATATATACGGTGAATGTTATAAGTTTCTTATTTAAGTCACAACTTAGACCTTTTAGTATATAATAGGTAGATTTCAACATGTTAAATTGATATTAAATTTTACATGATATCTATTTGATATCTACTGTTGTATTCAATTTGATATAATTTGTTCGTTTATATGGCGATATTCGATATAACATAATTACTACATTGAAATGGAAAAGTGAAAACAAAAAAAATAAAATAAAAAAATTAAGTACAATTAAAAGTTAAAAGAGTAGTAACATAAAAAGAAACATAATACAATTAGGTGTCATTTTATAACATTAATCATATTTTATACATTGGTAATTGGCTTGTACAAAACGTTAGAACCAATGATAAGAAGTTTCAATAACCTTAAAAGGTGATCCTTGGTGCTGTTCCACAACACTTGTGGCCTGTGGGAAACAAATCGTTTTTGATCTTGTTTGCTTGTTATATACAAGTACATCATATGAACAAACATTGTATGTTCAATGATATAGGTGTGAAATCAGAACTCGTATATTATATTATGGAACATGATTGATAATAACATGAAATGATTTTGTTTTCATAAAACAAGTACATGCGGGCCATAAGAGTGTACGTTTATTGAAATGAAATGGTATAAAAGTTTTGACGGAAATAGGAACACTTGGTCAATGAAGGAGTTAGTCAAAGTGAAGACATGGTTGTTATGATGTTCGTTGTTCCAATAAAGGTCCAGGTATAGGTATATATATGAGAGTTAGTTTAGATTACTTTTTTCTAAGTATTTAGGTTTTTTTTAGAACAACAAATTCACACCTTCTATTCTATTCTATTCTATTCTTAAATATACATATTTGATATTTCAGCCAAGCGTGACTTGAACCCTGAACCGTTGGTTGGGGGCACTAATCCACCCACGACCAATACCGTTGCACCACATGCGTTTTGGTATCAAGAAATTAGATAACCATGTGGAAAATACATTATGAGCAAAGTTTGAATCGAAAGGAGAAGAACATATCAACTAGTGATATGCTAAAGCCATATATATATATATATATATATATATATATATATATATATATATATATATATATATATA